CGATAGAAGTGAAACGGAGGTTTAAACTTTAAACTAAACTTCGAGAGAATGAGATGAATGCAGAGTATCAGAAGCAGGATAGCTGTAGACTTAATTTATTATTATATTATTACCAAGTTTAAAAATTATTTTACATTTTATTCTACATATACCTGTGGCGACGCTATCATCGCGCCACAAGCAAAACACATCGAAGCCTAAATCGCACTATCAAAGTTCCTAAGTAAAACAGTACACATATATAGAAGAGCTCCGAACTATCACATGGAGCGTTGGCCGCTCCCCGGGCAGAACACCTTGCCCGGCGGGAGATCTCCCCTTTTTCCTTTCACGGCGACAGTGGTGACCTTGACGCGATGTCAACACGCAATTAACATTCTTCGAAAACTAAAACTTCAAGCCTTCGTCATTATCCTCAAGAACCTCTACCATTGCAAACCTGAGAATCGTCTTCTGCAGTTTTCAGTTCCTGCAAGCCAGTCCAATTTGTCTTCATCTCAACTCACCGCAGATTTATAAGACAGACTTCTGGCTCTTGCTCCGACACATCGTTCTCACCGGCATCACTTGCAAGTGCCGTAGTACGGTATGCGTAGGCGCTGTCGTCGCGCCACAAGTAAAACACGACCCAACAAATAGCACACTAAAAACAACTAGTGACCTCATAAAGAAACTCCGAAAAATTAAATCTGGACGTAAAATGGATAATACCTACGTGCGCCAAATCACCAAAATTGTATGGGTTACCAAAAATATACAAGCCCAATGCTCCATTACGTCCCATAGTGAGCCAGATCGATTCACCAACATACAGATTAGCTCAACACTTAGCGAAAAGACCACTCACGGGACAAACAAGAGCACACATAAAGGATTTCTACCATTTTGTCAGCGAGATTAAAGACCTATATCTGGCAGACAATGAAACTATGGTCAGTTTTGATGTGCAGTCATTGTTTACATGCTTACCTGTTGAAGACTGCATCTCAATTGTAACTAGAAGGCTGGAAGAAAACAACATACCCGTAGAATATGCAGTATTACTCAGACACTGCCTTACATCTGGCTACCTATTGTGGAAGGAGGAGTTCTACAAGCAAGTAGATGGTGTGGCGATGGGCTCACCTGTATCTCCCATTGTCGCCGACATATTCGTGGAAGACTTTGAGGAGAAAGCCCTGCTTAGTTCTCCCATAAATCCAAGGTTCTACAAGCCGTACGTAGACGACACTTTCACAATTCTACCTTTAGATAAAGTAACTGTATTTTTAGACCATCTTAACTCTATAAATTCTAAAATTCAGTTCACAATGGAGTTAGACTCAAACAATTCCTTAGCTTTTCTAGATGTGTTAGTAATTCGAAATCCTGATAACACCTTGAGCCATACTGTGTATAGAAAAAAGACCCATACAGATAGATATTTAAACGGTTATTCTCACCACCATCCTTCACAGTTAGCTACCGTGGGTAAATCTTTGTTTCAGAGAGCACGAGGGATCTGTGACAGTAAACACCTGGCTGCAGAGCTCCACCATGTCAAGCAAGTTTTGCATAACAACAAGCTTCGAGTCCCGCGCCTACGTCACAGTGAACGAGTGAAGCCGGCCACAGTCGAGCGTGTACCTGCTGTACTGCCATATGTTAGAGGAGTTACTGACAAGATTGGCTACATCTTGAAGCGCGCTTCCATCAAAACATACTTCAAGTCGCTGAAGAAGATTGGTCAGTTTTTACCATCGGTCAAGTGTAATGTCCCTCTGCAAGATGCAGGAGTGTACAAGCTTGATTGTGAATGTGGTCTCTCCTACATAGGACAAACTAAAAGATCAATAAAAACCCGCGTTAAAGAACATATAGCTGATGTGAAGAATCGACGCTCCGGGAAGTCTGCAGTCTGTGAACACGTACAGGATCGCCCCTGTCACTATATCAGATTTGATAGACCGCAGATCCTCGCTAAGGAACACCGATTCCTTCCAAGGATGATTCGCGAGGCTATTGAAAAGAAAAAACATCCTAATTTCAATAGAGGAGATGGCTGGGTGCTGCCATCTGCTTGGGATCCTATAGTAAATAAAATTAAATCCCAACCCAAGCATACAACTGCAAGACTTTAAGATACCATAAGTTCATACTGCATAGATCGGAACAAAAGTTGAATTTTAATCTATGGTAACCGCAGTTAACTATGACAGATGGACGTTGAACATCTCAGTCCTGCCCGTGACCATGAGTGCTGTAAAGCGTTCGAAACGTCGGGTATTTAAAAAGTTAAAATATACGCGATAAATTCCGTAAAAACTAGTAATATTTCAATGTGTAGTGTTCGCGTAAATATAAGAAATCATTACATATGGTTAATTTTATTTATTTTATAAATTTAGTATTTTTACACTGTCTGTTTTAACAGTTAAAATTTATACTAACCATCTTTAAAAAATCGCACAAAGAGGAGACTGAAGTTATAGGAAACACTACGTTTTTTATTATACTAGCAATGCTATTAACATTAGTAATATTCCCTTAACCCACTACTGGTAAGCTGAAAATGCTTGTGTTAGGAGTGGTTCATGACAGTAGTCGAATAGCGGATTCAAGCCCACTACCTCTTAAATTCGTGGTCCATACCTTCCTAGACTGTATTCTATTTCATTTTCTCGCAGGATAAATCCTATAGATGTATATTTATTTATTTATTTAAACTTTATTTGCACACATAAAAGAAATGTACAAAACGGCGGACTTAATGCCTAAAGGCATTCTCTACCAGTCTACCTTTGGTATGCGCAGAGAATCTAGTGATGGGTGCAAAACTCATAATAAAAAAAAATTGAAGGTTTAAGGAAAAAAATACAAAATTATAATATAATGATAATAAATACAATACACATACATATACATTTACATTACTACTTACATGCATACAATAGTATTTTATACATATACACAAATACCCACAATAAATACATAGGGGAGAGGTGGTATACTTGATCCCCGAGGATACATGATCCCCCATTTAAAACTAGCGCCAAAAAGTGTTTTAAGGTGTTCTGTTGGCTGCATTGGGACGCCGCCTTGATGGCAAGTACAAATAGTAAACATTAAACCGAAACAACAGCTCGTTGCCAAAATAATTGGAAAGGTGGTATACTTGATCCCCGAGGATACATGATCCCCCATTTAAAACTAGCGCCAAAAAGTGTTTTAAGGTGTTCTGTTGGCTGCATTGGGACGCCGCCTTGATGGCAAGTACAAATAGTAAACATTAAACCGAAACAACAGCTCGTTGCCCAAATAATTGGAAATTTATGTTTTTACCGGATCTTACTTGTTTTGTTTAGTGTACGACAATTCGAAAAACTTCAGGTACGTGTACTTTACAATTTCTTGTTTGTATTTATGAAATATTGTGTGTATTTAGCTGTGTAAATTCAATTATTTCCGAGTCAAATGTTTTCATCTTGTTGCTGTTTTTTTTCCATTTTAAATAAAGTTACTGCTTCGGGATAGTTGATCCCTTTTTGCTAGGGGGATGCTTGATCCCGGAGTCAAGTATCCCACCTATAATTCTTTTGTTTGGGTCAAGAAGTAAATCTCATAACTTCCGTTCTTTTAGATGCCACGGAAGTACGTATCGAAGCAAGGAGCCATGAAGAGGGTACCTTACGACCCGGAGGCCTTGAAAAATGCGGTCCAAGCAGTTAAAGATGGAGCTGCTTACAAAACAGTCGCAAGAGAATTTAAAATTAATGTCATGACACTTAAAAGGCTATGCCGTCGAGACTCTTATGTTCAACCTGGTTTTACCAATAGACAAATTTTGTCCAAACGTCACGAGGATAAGCTAGGAGCGTATCTTGTTCATATGTCTAAAATGTATTATGGACTTACCGTTGTACAATTGCGTAAGGTAGCTTACCAATTCGCCAAAGCAAATAAGATGAAGTACCCCTCTTCATGGGATCACTCGCAACAGGCGGGTCGCGATTGGTATCGTGGATTTTTGGAGAGACAGCAAACTCTATCCTTAAGAACTCCAGAGCCTACCAGCTTGGCGCGAGCGACAGCGTTTAATAAACACACCGTGGCGGAATTTTTTGGAAATTTGACTGCAGTTTTTAATAAGCACGAATTTACTGCCGAAAGGGTGTGGAATATTGACGAAAAAGGGGTAACAACTGTCCATAAATCCAGCAAAATTATTGCAGTTAAGGGTTCCAAACAAGTAGGAAAAATGACATCGGCCGAACGAGGTGAGCTGGTTACCGTTTGTGCCTGTATCAACGCTGCCGGGGGCCACATCCCGCCATACATAATATTCCCCCGAAAAAAACTGGCAGGATAGGTTCCTCAATCATGCCCCTCCTAGCAGCGATGCAACTACTCATCCTAGTGGATGGATGACGGTTTTATAAAATTCCTCAAGCATTTTGTTCGTCATGTTCAACCCAACGCTGATAGGAAACACCTCATCATCATGGACAATCACGAGAGTCATTGTTCTGTCGACGCCCTCAACTACGCAAAAGACAACGGAATCGTTCTTCTCACAATTCCACCACATACATCCCACAAGCTGCAGCCATTAGACAGGACTGTTTTTGGTGCCTTAAAAACCTTTTATTCTCAGGCAGCATCAAATTTTATGCTGAGACACCCCGGGAGAACAATCACAATCTACGACGTTTCGGAACTGTTAGGGGAAGCTTTCCCAAGGGCTATGGTGCATACCAATATAATTAGTGGCTTCAGGGCGGCTGGAATATGGCCCATAAATGTCGACATTTTCACGGAGAGTGAGTTTATGACCAGTTTAGTTACGGACCGCCCTCCCCCCTTCTCAACTTGAAGAACCAACACAGAGAAGTGTGATAGCGTCGGACTGCCCTCTCCCTTCTCCACTTGAGGATCCCGTACAAAGCAGCAGTGTGAGTGAACGCGCGTCCCCATCCTCACTTGGAGGATCAGTGCCGATGCACTTTTCACCACAGGACATCATGCCCTACCCCAAGGCAGGTCCACGCTCGCAGTCGTCGCGCGGGAGAAAGCGAGGACGTACTCGCATCCTAACCGATACTCCGGAAAAAGCAGCCATCGAAGAACAATCAAATAAAAAGTTGGCGAAGATAGCAGAGATAGAAATGAAAAGGAAGAATAAAGAAAATAGGCCTACCAAGAAAACAGTGAGACAAATCTTTTCACTAAAAAAAATTGACGATGACACCTCATCTGATTCTGATGAATGTCCTCCACTTCCATCATCGTCAGGGGGGGAAGAAGAGTTATGCAGTGATGGCGAGGGTCATAGAGCTTTTGAGCCCATCAGAAAAGAAGTAGGGGAATTTGTAGTTGCAATTTACAATGGTTTGTCATACCCAGGAAAAATTACAAAAATACATGAAAACGGGGCTACAATAAAAGCATTGGAAAAAAGTGGAAGGCTTTGGAAGTGGCCAGCAAGGGAAGACGAAATATTTTATGTGTGGGGTGACATTTTGGGACACTTGCCGGAGCCGACGAAATTTTCAAAAACACGTGACATTTATTCCGTGCCACTTCTCGAATAATTTTCCCATTTATTTTTTGTCTGTGTTTTTCAATTTTTTTATGTTGTTTTCATTTTGTACCTACTCATCTTTCGAATCGTTAATTACAACTTATTAAAAGTAGACCTAAGTTTATTTAATTTCCATATTTAGGTAGGCCTATGGCTGAAACTTTGACGGGTGGGATGATTGATCCTCCGGGATCATACAACCCACTCACCGGGATCAAGTATCCCCATAGGGAGGGTTACTTGATCCTTGTGTCGGACTTTAAAAAAAACCCTTTTTGTCGTTTTTTTTAATAAATAAGAAGGTCTGTATTGGTGCTAAATCAGTAGTATTGAACGGAAATACATGTGTGATTTAAAAGAAAGTCAGATTTATGAAAATGGTTCGAATTACTAAAAGAAAACCAAAACAGGGATCAAGTATACCACCTCTCCCCTACACAATAAATAAATATGATATTTTTATATTATACATACTTGAGAATATAACAGTTTCCAAAGTTTTTTAGATTTTTTTATTATTATCCGAAACTACTACTGCTTCGTTAAGTAATATTCCCAGAGTAAACGTTTAAAGATAGGTTTAGTTTTTGCTTCTTTTATATTTCTGGGTAACATGTTTCAGAGTCTTACTGCATTTGAAGTGAAAGAATTGTAAGAGAAGTCCGTGCGACAGAGAGGAACATGAAGAATTAGATTTTCCGCGGAACGGAGACATCGGTTGTGAGAATCGCCCTGATACTGAAATTTGCATTTCAGATATGCAGGGACAAACGGATCGTGTAAAATAGAGAATAGCATAGAAAGGATTCTAAAAGATCTACGAAGTGGAAGAGGCAGCCATTTGAGCTGAGAACGGAATGAAGAAACGTGATCGAATTTACGTAAGCCAAAGATAAAGCGAATACAATTATTGGGAAGACGATCCAGTTTGTTAAGAAGTTCTTGAGAGGCATCAGCATAGCATACATCTGCATAATCTAGTATTGGTAATACGAGCGTTTGAACCAACATTACCTTTGTTCTCACTGGAAGAAAATTCTTGAGTCTATACAGACAACGCAAGGTGTTGATAATTTTTTTGCTTACTTCCGTGACTTGCGGCCGCCAACTTAGACTGCTGTCAATGATAAGTCCTAGATTTTTCACAGTAGCTGAATAAGGTATGACAGCATTATTAAAATTTACAGGTGGCAGTGAATTAAAATCCAATGTAGATAAGCGACGGCTACTTCCAACTATAATTGCCTGGCACTTGGTAGGGTTAACAGTAATACCGAATTTGCTAGACCAATCAGAGATACGAGTGAGGTCAGAATTTAGCTCAGTGATCGCATCTTCGATATCGTTAACATCAGACTGAGCATATATTTGTAAGTCATCGGCGTAGAGATGGTACGTGCAGCGAATGTGAGATGTAATGAGATTTATAAAAATTGAAAACAAAAGAGGTGAGAGAATTCCGCCTTGTGGAACACCAGCGTGCACCAGTCAGAAATAACTGGACCCACGCAAACAGCCTGCTGACGTCCCTGAAGATAGGATGCGAACCATTCCCGCGCTGATGAGGAGAAACCAATGTGAGAAAGTATTGTAAGAAGGATGTCATGATCAACAGCATTAAAAGCGTTTGAGAAATCTATTAAAACTAATACAGTTAATTTTGACTCTTCCATACCTATACGTAAATCTTCCGTAACTTTAAGCAGGGCTGTTGTTGTACTATGTCCTGGCCTGAAACCTGATTGATAGCTACTTAAAAAGTTATTTTTAAAAACGTAGTCAGAAATTTGTCTCTGAGCAACAGCTTCAAGTACTTTTGATAAAAAAGGAAGAATAGAGATAGGACGAAAGTGAGAAACAGAACTAGGATTATTTATTTTTGGAAGTGGGAGAACAAAAGCATTTCGCCATAGTGAAGGAAAAACCCCAGTATTTAATGAAAAATTTACTATGTGGGTAAGTACTGGTAAGACATAATCGAGGATGAGATTGATCATGATGCTCACATCATCAGAGCCTACTGCGGCGGACTTGATGGAAGAAATTGACTTTTTTATGTCCTCATCAGTAACGGGAGAAAAATTGAAAGAGATTTTATAAAATTTTGGAAGAGAATTAACATGGGCAATAGTAGTAGATTTAATTGACGAATGCAACTGTGGTGCAGTAGAAAAGTATGTATTAAGTTGATTAACAGAGAAGATTGAAGGATCAAAGTTAGAAGCAGGTTTACCTATCCCGATTGATTTTAAAAATTTCCACGAATCAGCCATAGAAGCGTTAAGGATATTTCGATAAATATAACGGCGTTATATATGTTTGTCTCTTTTCAGTGTCGCTTTTTCGTTTAATCGAGTTTCAAATCACAACGTTTATAAAAACATTTTTATTTGAATAAAAACATCTTTTGAATGAATTTGTAATTAATAAGTAACTTTTAAAAATTTAAGGAATACCATCTCAAATTGCGCTGTACGTATACCTAATAGTGCTATTAACTATTTAAATTAAAATTTGATTTTAATAATGACTAGTATCATTTTAAAAGCAAACAATGCACAAAAACCTAACTATAATTTATATATTAACCGCGAAACATCGATTAACATAATTTAAAACTTTATTTTAAAGTAAATAATACATTTTTAGAACTCTACGCACTTTAAGACACAGGGAATTTGGTATGAATGATACTACCTACATACGAAACTTTTATTATATGTAAATAGGTGTAAGACAGTGTGATGTTATACATCTGAAACTCTTCAACACTGAAAGACGTTTTCAAGCCACTAGGAAAGGATACAGTATTTACATCAATGGCGAGTACGTCACTGTCATTCGGTTTGCCGACAAATAGTCTTTATGGCAGAAGCGCTGGAGGACCTATGCACTATGCTCAATGAACTCAATAGTGCCTCCCAACGGATAGGTCTTAAGAAGAACATGGACAAAACAAAGATCATTTGAAACGTTCATGTCACACCTATATCGGTAGTTGTTAGGAGCACTCAGCTCGAGGTTGTTGATGAGTATGTTTACCTGGGACAAATAGGCTGACTAGGTAAGTCCAACTTCGACCGAGAGGTCAATTGACGGATTCAACAGGGAAAATTTTCAATAACAAAGGCCATACTTTTGAAACTCTGTCTCCATTATATATCACATGGAGCAGCATAATTTTAATTTAACGCTGAAAATAAGGCTACGCAAGGCCTTAACGACATGCGCGTGTGGTCGCAAAAGAGAGTACACTAGATTAAATATTTTTTTTATAGCATATAATGTTATTTTAAAAACTTGAAAACATTTTGGTATCATATGGATACTTGAAACAATAAATCCTCGTTGAATTTTTTTAAGCTATTGCATAGCTTCTATTGCGGGTCTTGAGCGCGGGGACCGAATCCAGAAATTCCGTAACGAAAAAAACCTCACGCTCCCCCACTCCGACGGGCACGGAGGTGTGGCTTGAAGGCCGTGCATTGTCTAACGTCGTTTATGTGCGGACGAATTTATTTTATTTTAGACGACGGCTCCGTGGCGCAGCGGCTTGGCAATGAGTGGCTGTGCCAGGAGTCGCGGGTTTGAATCCCGTACGGAACAAGTATTTGTATATCCTACAAATAATTGTTTCGGGTCTGGATGTGTGTCCTTATGCAATTTATGTTTGTAAGTTACCTCCGCGATACAGGAGAAAATCCAAGTGTGGAGGGTAACGTTTTTATAAAATAATTATAAAAGAATAGTGAATATTAATGGGCTGTAAATAGATATACGATTAGCTTTATTTATTCTTTACATGCATCAGAAACTGGAATAAATATCATTAATTAGAACTAAACTTATTTTAAAGTTAAGGGAGTTATAATCGATAAGTCTATGTTTTAAAATTGGGTTTTGTTTTTAAAGTTTAGCAAAACATGTACTTGCTTTTCTATCAGACAAAAACACCTTATAATTTATTGGTAATTTAATTATTTTTTGAAAACAATAGCAATAAATATAATTAACACTGACTTAATAACAGGTACTAATTATAACTTAGAAAGTGGCTCAGTACCATGCTTTACGGTTTTCTTTGGAGGAAGATGTTCAGTAGTGGACTTGTGAAGAGCTGTAATGATGATGATGATTCGAAAACTTGCACGATTAAATTATAAGAAATCGACGCTTTTTTATACAGGATAGGGTGACAAACGAGTACACAGTTCACCTGATGGTAAGTGGTTACTGTGGCCCACAGACATCTACATCTATCCTCGATTACGAATCAAAATGCAGATGCGTTGTCACCCGTGAGGACTAAGATGAAATGCCTCGTTTCATTTAAAAAGTGTCTCTGGTTCTCTACACTCACTATACGAAACACACAATCATTAAGCTACTATTTTACATTGATATTCTGTGAGAGCGTGGTCCTTCCACGGTCGAACCGACCTATTCGTGCTACAAATATACTTCTAATATAACTATACTTCTAATATTAATTATAATTTATTATAATTATAATTACCGCGTTCTACCGCGTATAAACGACGCGACGTGCTTCATTTTTTTTTTCATTTTAAAATTGTTCTCGTAATAATCTGATTATAAATAAATGTTCATTATTTTTTTTATAAATAGCTTATCGATTAAAACAAATGTTTAAAAAATAATTGAATCGTGCTAATTAAAGTAGTAGGAATGTTTAAAGTTGAAATTGGCACTAAAAGGCTGGTAATTGGGCCATCCACCCTACAAAGCGTGAATATAAAATTTTAATCAGATGCGTGTAATCACTCTGGGAGCTTGTAGCAAACTAAACTTGCGGCCAACGTGTGGACGCGGCGACCAAACTCTGCCAACAATCCTTTGATCTTTTGTAAAAAACCGACACCACATGGATCTTGCGCCAACTTGTGGGCCATCGTTCCAATACATATCAATGAAGCCCAAACACCCCGTCTACACGTTGGCCAATGATATTGGCCACTACATTCGCCACTGTGTTGGCCAACGTGTAGA